AATCAGTGGTTAAGTTGTATTTACAACACTGTTCCAGAACAGTTTAACCCAAATATTCAGATGTGTCCAGCGCATTTTATGGAGGACTGTTTTCCTGATCCTGGTAGAGTAGACCAGGGGTTTTCAACCTGTGGGGATCAAATCTTTAGCCATCCACTAGGGGGCAATCTGACTCCCACTGCTAGTCGACAGTTAGAACAGAGTTGGCTCTAGTATCAGTCACGCTTATTGACCGTGTAAGATGATTCACGGTTAGCCGTGTCGGAAATCCAACCACGGATTGGCATGTTGTTATCTCAGAAACAGGCTCAGCCATCACATTGAATCAGGTAAACTGGTTATATATTTATGTTTCAGTATAATTACGCACACTATACCAGGGGTGGTTCTAAACCCTTTTTAGGTGGGTTTCATCCCCCCTATCTGTCACCTTAGCCCCCCAAAGCTATCTTAACGATTAGGCCAGTGCTGCTTTCTCAAGAAAGTTTTTCATTCTCACGTGTTCTAAGTCTTGTCAGTTTAAACATTAACGTAATTTTAAGCCATTTAAGCCCAAGACATCTCAGTGCGGTACATAGAGCGTTTCTATGTGCACCGCTCACACACCTGAAGTGCAGAAACAGATAGCCTTCTCAGACAGCAGGTGAATACCAATGGCTGTCTTGACAAGTATCCTTGTAAGCACAGTCAGTTGTTTTAAGTGAACGTAAACAGTAAAGAAAATATCAGATGTATATCAGTATAACGGATCCGTGCATTTCTTATAAAAATGTTAATCAAAAAGAGCAAAAGAAAAATCATTCACTGCTTTAATAGCTTTAATGGATATTTGCATTATGTTGATGTTAATAAAGTAATTCGGTGTGAATACAGTAATGGGGGGGCGCGAGTGAAATTAGACAAACTTGGGGGGGCGCATGTCCTAAAAGGTTGAAAACCCCTGCAGTAGACTACAATGCCGGCTGTTCTGACTCACAGACTATAAGTACTTTTTTTATATTTAAAGAATTTGCCACTGACGATTCAAATGCGAGTTTTGAGCAGTGTAGA